TCTACTTCTACTTCTACTACTGCTATCTCTACTTCTACTTTTACTTCTACTTCTTCTTCTTCGACTGCCACCAGCACTACTCGGCAGTGCTCGTACCAGTCGACGTACACTGGCTACATGCGCTATTTCTTTACGACGAAGCGCATAGCGCCGTGTAGAGGCTCGGCAAGCTCAAGAGCTCCAGAGTTCTGGGAGAAACACACAGTACCATAATGCAATATACTTTGGTTACAGATGGTACAATAAAGCATAACACAACAAGCCTTAGTGTCATATCGTGATATATAAAGGAAGTTGGAACATGTGATAAAGTTGTGTACAATTTGAACATAGAACATGGGGTACAGAAGAAACAATAAACAGTGCAGAATAGATCGAATAGTACATATAACACAGAGTATAGAGTATGATGTATAATAAAGTTATAACATAATGTAGTATAACTCAGCCTACTAGCATATGCAAATAGAGTAGAATGGAACAGAACAGAATACACAATTGCAGCATACATTCTACTCTTGTGCTAACATAACAGAATGAGTATTATGTGTCCCGAAATGCTGAAATCATGCCTTCGCTTCCCAGGCAGCCTTTGCCGCGGCCTCGCAGCTGCCGTCGCGGCTGCGCCAAGCGATCGACGGAGATGGAGGCTGCAGCTTATGATATGCGGCTTCTGAACAGGGTTTGGGGTGGGAGGGAGATGTCAGAAGTTGCGTCAATGGCAGCATTTCACTGTCCATGCAGCCGCTGAACAGCCCCAGATTCGTCATTGCTTTGCACTGCAGCGGCCGTCAGCACAGGATCTATGACCACAGGTCGTAGAGCTATATTATATGTATAAATACATATATATATATATATATTATGTACACACATATTCGGTTGCTCGGAGTGTGTCCTAAATACTCTGCAAGCCCCGCAAGACAGCGTTCAGTAGTTGCTTGGCAGGTCAAGAGGATCTGACAGAGCGTGTGAGCAGTCTCTTGGCTTTGACAAGGAGAGAGAAGATGTGGGAGCTTCTTACTTTCGAGGGTTACCTGATCAATAGCAAATGTACACATGTACATGTGTTATATATATATATGAAAAACGAAAATAATATAAAGATAGGTAGATATATATATATATATGCATGTATGAATATGAACAGGTGTGTATATATGTGTATATATACAGAGACACACACACAGATATATATATATACATACATACATACACGTAGATAGACTGTATACATATGTATTAAGGAATGCAGAGGTCCTCTGCCGTTACTTCAGCTCTAACCTCTTAACACTGAATGTAGGGGTCCTTCCCATGATCATCCTACGGGTACGGTGCTTGTAAGTCTGTACCAGCCCCCCCACC